CATGATTATGGCAATTTGGAATGTTGAAATGATCTGTGAGAGTAAAAAAGTTCCTCAACCGGGATTGGCACCCGGGACCGTCTGCTATCTGTGCAGACGCATTAACCTAGTAGGCCATTGAGGCTTTGTTGAAATATAAATTTTGATTAAAACATCTAATTCCTCACACTCATACGTATGGTATAGTTGGACTAGTAGTGTTAATCAAACTAAAGAACTGGCCTATCAGAATAAATCAATGCATACGTACTTTTACTTTTACCTTTCGATTTGTGGTATATTGGCATGAAATTCAAATTTGCGGGGATGAGCGGAAATGTCTACTACTGTACTTGTATTGTTTTTGATGAGCTTTATCGATTATAAAATGGCCGTATTCACCTTTATTTACAGTGTTCTATTGTTTATATTCTGCTATGTTAAAATGATTGATGCCTAATAAAGACAAAGTAACTGAGAGTACGATTTCATGTATGTTAGTTCTTTTTTGATATCAACATTATCTTTTTTAGTCAATTTATATGAGGAATACAATTGCTGATCTAACCACCGTATGATAGAGGAATTAGAAGAGAAAGAAAAAAGATAATAATCCATGTCGTTACAAGCAACAGTTTATCACTAAGCTCACGTAAGATTCAGCACTAATATTTACACAAACACGTAAAATATAATAATGAGTCATTTCCATTGTTTCCATAATTTTCAGTACATTTCTGAGCCGCTCATTATATTTACTTTATTTTAATATTACTAGGCCTCTAGCCTAGGCCTACACATATACTATATACTATTTTGTTTCACATTAAAAATGCTTTCAAAATAAAACCTTCATATTCTGTTATACACTATACTAAGGTAATATACAACTATTAGATAAGATTATTGGAAACATAAACGAGTAGTAATTCTTACCTATATATTGACCTATGCTACTATGGCTAATGACAGGTACGCTTTCACCATTAAAAGGCTTAGCCTATTCTATGAATGGAATGACTTGTATGAATCACGAGCCCTTGTAGACAAACCAAGTGCCGTTTCGATTTTAATTTTACTCATGATATTTCGTCCAAAATTCCAGTTTACGGCAAAACTTTTTCTATGACGTCAGATCTGATCTGTTGAAAAAATGTTCGGTTTGCTCACATGACCATCAATTTGGATCATGTGGTATTTAGACAAAACCATGGAATTTAACGTTGGATGATATCCTATAATTATTTTTTTGTACAACAATTATTTTGATAAATAAACAAGTGAAAGAAATAGTTGATGTCATTGAATTATTATTAATAATAATAATAATAATAATAATAATAATAATAATAATAATAATAATATAATTTATATAGCGCCTTTCCAAAATGATCAAGGCGCTTCACAATGGTTACTATTATTATTACATCATCATCACCATCCTTAAAGTTATTATTATATTGTAATCATCATCATTATTAATGTATTATTATTGTTATTACTACTATCACTATTATTATTATTATTATTATTTGCCTCATTATCAGCATTATTATAATAATTATTAATATTGCATTGTAATTAATGTTATTCTACATGTTATTATTATTAGCATTGAAAGTATTTGATAATCTGGTAGACTGAACAAGAATGAATATTCTTTTCTGTAGAGTTAGAATGGATTTACTATTCTACGTTTGTTATAATAATCACAGAATCAGCATCGATTCATTGCGGGACTTACCATTCAGGTATGCCTCTTGTAAATTTTAAGTTTCCGTTTCCCTATGGGTCTCTTCTGGTATAATAATAGGTCTACTATCACGTATAACCTAACGTAGGCCATGTAATGCAATAATGTTACAAAGAATACCACATTGACTTTAACGAAAACACAAGCCTATGACTTCGTATGCGTATCATAACAAGGTATTTGAATAGTCAATAGTCTAAACATTTCAATAGTATCTTTACATACGAATTATGTGCTGGAAAACGTCAATCACGGAATGGTTATTTCAACAACAGTTTTAGTCCAGTCGACGTGAGGTGGATACAAAATACTGCTCAACAAAGTCGAGCATCGATTTCTGTAACGAATATAACATCGTTGTATTTGTTCATACTAGACTGAATTGGTCAAGATGTTGAACAATTCTAGAATTGATCATGCTATTGAAGAAACGAAATCGCCGCTGAAGTCATAGTACATTCGAAATATATTTCAAGCACCTCCTTACTGTAAGTGATAAACAAATGAAATTTATTATTATTATTGTTATTATTATTATTATTATTATAATGATACACCTAATAACACAATAATAATAATAATAATAATAATAATAATAATAATAATTATTATTATTATTAATATTATTAACAATAATAATAATAGGCACAAAAGTAATGACAATAATAGGCCTAGTAATAATTGTAAACATTAGAAATAGTCATAATAAATTAATAATATATGAAAAATATAATAATAATAAATATCATTATTATTATTATTATTATAAATAGGCCTATATTAGTATCCATGACTACCGTATGTATGCCGTATATTATGTGTTTACATGTATATTAACACATAATATAGGTCTTTATTTCAATCAAGTTTATTCAACTTGTTCTATTTGACTGTCTGTTGTGACTCACTCTTCTCTCTCGCCATGTTTACTTTGAATTCTGCAGTCACCGATGTCCATTAAAACAACAGTCACATACCGCTTCTATAATTGTTTCTGTCAGTGGATGGCCATCGTTTTACCCCCACCGTACCCCCTTGCCAGTAATTTTAGTAAAATCATTTGCCATTTCTTTTATTTGTTAGTAGTAGATATTTCAAATTTCACTGGCCTTGCCTTGCTAAGTTTTTTTTTATCGAATCATTTATCGTTTTAGATTTTTATCTTGCTACTCTTACAGGTGCATTTTTTTTCTGTATTGAATCACTTTTTATACCATCGTTTATAATCCCGTTTGCGGTCTATAGATTAATAATAGTCGCAATTGCCCGGTCACCTCAAAAGTGTGTCGAAGGGCAGTGGTGAGTTTGTTTTCGGGTTGATTACCCGGTGCATAGATTGCTTTTCTTTCATTTACAATTTATCGAATCAAAGGTTGTCAGAAAGAAAGAGAAACTCCCTGAAAGAATTCGGGCCGGAGAGCCTTTTGTCCGTGTAGCCGGTGTTTGTTGTTCTCTGGTGGTACTGGAAGTTTGTATACACAGAAATCAATTTCATACCACAATGACCGTTTGCTCTATTCTAGTCTAGTTATTCTAAAATCGCTCGGGTCATTTTACAAATACGGCAACTCGGCGTTGGGCGCATAGAAAATGGATTTTGCATGTCAAAAAAAAAGTGTATTGTCCAAGGTACTAACCAGGGTCCATAACATCTGTCATATATCTAGGTCGCACTGTACTTTATTCGACATGCCACATGATAACAATAATTAAAATAGTACATTCGTAGGCAAATACCCAAAAGTATATCTTATACTGATTGTAGACCTATAGTTTTTAGAAGGCCAGGTGTCATAAATATCTTTAGTTTATAGAAACGTGTGCATTAGGATAATATTACCGTGTGCACGGACCTTTACATTAAATTTCCATTCGAATATTGCAACCACTGTAACTGTCACTTTAAGACAAAATGAAAACATAACTTGCAAAAAATGCTACAAGCTATCGTAGTTCTATATATCGAACTTTCTTTTCATTGATCTTTAGGAATGAAGATTAACGAATTTCAGAGGGTTCATGAGCTTGCATCTTGCAGATACTACATAATTATGTCTACATTTAATATATATTTTACTCGTGTACTGTTACTGTTTCATAATATATTTTTTAATCAAATGGACACTATTATAAATAGCATTGACTAGTAAAACTAGGCCTAATAATAATAATAATAATAATAATAATAATAATAATAATAATAATAATAATAATAATAATAACAATAACAATAATAACAATAATAATAATAATAATAATATTCCTACTATATTAAAAAGCAAAAACCGGTTTTAAGAGTTAATATATTTTTTACTGGTGTACTGTTACTGTTTCATAATATATTTCTAAATAAAATGGAAACTATTATAAATGGCATTGACTAGTAAGGCTAGGCTTAATAATAATAATAATAATAATAATAATAATAATAATAATAATAATAATAATAATAATAATAATAATAATAATAATAATAATAATAATAATAATAATAATCCTACTATATTAAACAGCAAAAACCCGTTTTTCGTTTTTTGGTAATCTATGGACTTGAGTCTAAGCAACCCATTAAAAGCAAATTTATAAGCTTCAAGTATTTGCCCCTCACAAACTCAAGTATCGACCTATCAAGTGCCTATTAGGTAAAACAAACTCGCAAGATTCAAGATTCAAGATTTCATTTATTGTCATATACAAGCAAAGTACATGAAATTTGCTTTCCAGAGCGAGGAAAACACAAAAATATACATACAGATAAAACTACAGAACAACTTTAAATATAAAACTATACTGTTAAAAAGAGTAACTGTTAAATTTATAATATACAATCAATACATTACAGTCTAAATGTAAATGAGTTGAAATATAAAATTTAAAAGACCGAATAAAAAATATGACTTTCTGGTGAATACTTTGTTAAATAGATGACAGGCATAAGACAGGAATGAGTTTTGCATTTGTTTGTTTTACAAGGTTGGCAAATCCTACCTGATCTATTAACATTGATATGCTTATTTAGTAAATGAGTATTGTCAGTGATAGTTAAATCCAATTTTTTTTTAGCACAATATTCGTCACACAGACCATTTATACTTTCAACATCCTTGCCAATGATTTTCCTTACTGCTTTAGTTATTTTTGATATTTGATGTCTCAACATTAACGTAAGTACCAAACGAGTAAAAGCTAATAAACCAATACATAGATTAAGTATCCCCCAAACCATTTTAACTGACCAGCAAATTGATTTCAAATAGTAGGGGCCTAAAATCTAGTCAGGGGCGTATATACCAAGCGCGTGCCCGGAGCCCAGATTTAACTCTTAAAAATATTAGTACAGTTATAGTTGACCAATGCCTTGAGCGTTTCGTTCCTAAATTAAATAAACCTTAACTTGGTGTCCAGCTTGGCATATAGACAGAATAATCCATATGCCTATTTCTCTTTTTAGTCTAATGCATACCAATGGTATAATATCATAATGGCCGTGTTGTATTGTCGAGCTTTGCATATTTGTGACTGGAATGTACTTTCGTCAAAATGAGAATTATAGGTCTATGGATGTGCTGTAACGATTCTCAGAGTAAATCACACAATTGTATATGCCTATGCATGGTTTCGTAGGCCTAATAGTTGTTTAGCAAAATTGTGAATTATAAATTGATTTCTATAATATCATCATCATCGTCGTCATTATCATCATCATCATTATCACCATTGTTGTTGTTATTATTTTTATTATTATTATTATTATTATTGTTGTTGTTGTTGTTGTTATTATTATTATTATTAGGCCTATTATTATTATTATTAAAACACTGCATATGAGGAGTTAAGAAAGAGTAAATGACACTAAAAACAAACTGTATACACCATATATTCCAGCATTTTCAACATTTATTACCTTATAGTATTACACATAGACATATGCGAAGAGAACCAGAGTACACGTCCCAAAAAAAAAAAAAAAAAATCCACACAAAAATAACCCAATAAAGAACATTCTTGAAAATAGCATAAAAATAAAAAATGAAAGACAGAAATAGGCCTACATGCATAAAATCGACGTGAGTATGGTTAACAAATAGCAATATTTTACAGCTCGTAATATGATAGTTAAAACAGAGATGTTTGCAAACATGGTAAGATGTTGTGACTTTTCGTTTTCATTTTTTGAATCAGAATCATATTTTAATTAATTTATTACCAGAAATCTATGTTACCGTGCGAGACACAAGGCAAAATAAAAAAAAAAAACATTTCGTCTTATTTACATTGGAATTTACTCTAATTATCTGTCGCCATTCGCTGTCAATATAAATTACGACATAACATAACCACAGTCACATTTACATATCTTTTAACAAATTATACAAACGAGTAAAATAGAAATAAATAGATGATTAACTATACATATTTATTCGATAACATTTGTTGAAGATCTTCAAAACAATAAATCCCGATTGAGATTTTACTAACTAAAATGCAATAGGATTTGCGAACATTGCACCAATGGAATAAGAAATATGAGACCGTGTTTTCTACTCAAAATAATTTAAATTTAACACGAGACTAATTCTTGATAATTATTACAAGGAATGATTTATATTGAAAAAAAACACCCAAAGGATTTTATGTAATTTTTCAACCAATATTTGGCGAAGTATCTTTGGTACCAATCATTTAATGTCCTATACGTGACGCTCTCCTTGGTATTTTAGATTTTAATTCTTATGACGCAAAAGTCGTATGCTGAATTTTCCGTCCCTGAGTGTTGTTATTGGACGTTTGGTACTAAGACTGTATCTGAAAAAAATCGCGCAAATGAAAAAAAGTACATTCTCAGTTTAACCAGGCTTAGTGCGGTATTGTGATATGGCTTAAAATATCATAAAAAACGAGTTAACAAAGTTTCCTTTTATGGAAATTGCTCATGCACATAAACAAGGTCGACGTAGGATGGGTTAACCATTCGGAGGAAATATAGATTCAATTGACAATAATAATATAACGTTTGCGTTTCATCTAAAATGCATCTTTAAAATATCTAAACCATAAATGAATCATTTTCAATAATGAGACGTTTGGTTAAGGCCTACATCTAGATTCGGCCAATACACCGGAATGGACAAAAAACTGACCATGCGTGGAATCTTGTGCACTTAAAACCTCGCACTAACCCCAGTCTTTAGCAGACTACACTGTCGGATATACCGTTCATTTTAAGGATTTATACCCACGTAATATTCACTAGGCATGGTGCATTACGGAATGTTATTAACTGTTTTGGTTCTAGGTTTACTAGATATACCCTCGAGGAATGCTGATAACACCAAGTCCATAGTATTACGGCCACAAAGCCGCTAGATTTATCCGTGTCGGTGAGAATCCTGTAGGCCAGCGGAATCTTCGTCATGCAATCGTCGCGGTCAATAATTATTATTTTAGGCCGCCATTGAGTTGGAAAATGCATTACAGATATCAAAGTCACACCTTTGAAAAACGGTAACAATTGCCCGGCGTCGAATGTTTTCTTTTTAGAGGTCGTAATGCAAGTCTGCTGTAGTTTATCATGGCATCAAAATAAGTATCGTGGTCTATTTGCATTTGTTTTTATTTGTCTTCTGGCCTGAAAATATCCTATCACCACGTTCTACCATGTAAGAGAAAAGGGGCGGTGTTCATTGCAGTACTGTCTTGGCCATTGCTCAGTCCATTATAGCTAGCCAATACGTGCTCATGGGGTGAACCATTAGCACTGTTACCCGTCTGTTGAATTCCTCCTGACCCTAGGCCCGAACAAGGGGCAAGACCGCTCGAATCTACAGAGGTCTGATGTGAGTGGTGGTGATGATGTGTATTCAGTGGATTGTGCTCTGCGGACGCGTTCGTATCTACGGAATCCGTTAGTCGCGCATCTGGGCTAGGCGTATCACCGGTACTCGTTCCATTACAAGGTTTTCCGTCTTTGACTAAAACCGGCACGGCTACTCTCCTTGGTGACTGATGACATAAACTATTACTTTCTTGCATATTTTTGTCCTTTTGTTGCCTTTTCAACTTATACCGATGATTTTGAAACCAAATTTTTACTTGAGTTGGAGTAAGGTTTATAAGGCTAGCAAGATGTTCTCGTTCTGGTGCTGAAAGATAGCGCTGTTGCTTAAAGCGTCTCTCTAGTTCGTATACCTGCGCCTGTGAGAATAAAACGCGTCGTTTTCGTCGCTGAGTCGGTAGCATTGGCTTTCCCATTTCGGCCATTCCTCCTAGGCCCGCCATACTCATGTTCATATTCATATTCATGTTCATATTCATATTCATATTCATATTCATTGGAGACGGCGGCGTCATAAGTCTGGACACTGTATCAAGACAAAAGAAACAAAAACAAATAAGTTCACGTCTGCGGACATGATAAGAACACAGTAAACATCGGCTATCATTTACTGTTTGAATAACGCCCCCAAATACAGCTATTCAGAACAAGAGATAATAGTATAGGCCTATTGGTACAAATATTGATAGTTAATCGTAAAACCGAGAATCAGAGTCTCTCAAACCTTACGATGCTAATGGGCCAACTTTTGCCTCAATCATCATAACATCTTTGTTATTCTTATCAAAATAATGTGCCCAGTTGGGCTTCTGTTTAATAAAACTCTACAAGTAGGCCTAACTCTCGTCGGGCCTAGCCTAGGGGCATACGATTGCAAGTACCGCCATTAAGTAAGGTACACCATTCAGATATATTTTTATCATTACAAATTATGTTTTCACAGGCAGTGTTCAGAAATAATACCAAAAACGTACAATAT